AGACTGAAAGACCACAGCGAATCTGTGGATTCAAAATTGTGGCTTTATTCTGCCTGGAATGCTTTTACCAATTGAAATGGCTGTTTTACCCTTACTAAAGGACTTTTTTCTGTAATATAAGATGACATTTCTGACAGTGTGCAAATGTTCAGCACAATTTTTATAAAAAAAGACATATTTTTTTTATTTTGCCCCATATAAAGCACAGCCCACTAAAGGAAAATATATTTTATTACCATTTGCTGTCTTTTCACCTTTCTTAAGAATGATTCTTCCCCTTTAAAACTCTGGGAAAGTTGTACAAAGTGCCATAATTATTCAAAACCTATAAATGCCTTTAATTTCCTATTGGAAATGTTCTACTTGTACACCAATCTGCATTGCATTTAGTTTTTCTACAAATTTGACAAGATGGCCTGCCTACATTTAAACCCCATCCATTGGTAGCCCCTGAAAACAATTCAAACCTCTAACAAGCCCAATTTAGAATTAGTTTGGTGTTTGTATGAGTGTATTAGAGCCCCTAGTCTCTTCCAATACAGCTGGTTTAAAGCTTGATCAACTGAAATCTCACTTTCGTAGCTTTACTGCACTGGAAAATCTTTTTAAATGTAAAGCCCACAATCCCTTGCAGCTGGGGAAACGGGGATGTCTGCCAGCATGCTAAAAGTACATGCAAATATGGGCCTCTCCCTGTAAGATGTCTCTGCAACTCATAAATGGTCAGAAGCCCAAAGGAGGGGAGCAGTGGCTGCAAGTTTGGGAGGCTGCATGGTATACGGCCAACTGGTTCAGGCCCTCTTGTGAGAGTTTACGCTGCGGGAAAACTGATTTTTACAATGAAAAGGGAAAGGGATTTACAAGGCCTGACCTGTTCTCGCAACCTCCCCACATCTTCCCCAAATCATAGCATTGCTCTTTGCAGCAGAACGTCTAATCAAATCAGAGCCACATGGCTGCAGACACAGTGGGTTGTAAGAAAAATTCAGATAAAAGACTTTAAACATTTATCTGTGGCATATGATTCACAGGCATAAAAACGTTTGAGGTTTTCAAGATATCTTCTTGTTTCCAAGGTTTTAGTTTATTACATAGTACAGACTGTGAGCTGTGTGAAATAAACCTATAGTTCTCCCCCACTTCTCTGATAATAAAAGCTGTTGTGTATTTCGTGGATATTGACACGAGATAGGACTCCTTTTTTTCCCCTGGAAGTTTGTGCAGTAAGTGTGTGTCCAAAATGCTTTGCTGCCGGTCACCCACAGTGGCCCCTCTTTATCAGCTTTGCTTAATGAAGATGCCCATCATGTTCCTAACGGTGCCTATTATTGGAGGCCAAACACTACAAGTCAAGGAGATCTTCAAAGAGAGAGTGGAAAAGCCCACTAAACGAGAGCAATATAATAACATTACAGAGACACACATTAATTGGATGGATGAAAGCCCCACTTTTGTACTACGTGCGGTAGCGGAAAAATGTCTCTGTAAATTGGCTCTGTTTTTAATCAGCAGAAATATCCCCGTAAACTCCATCTTTAATTGATTAGGGATGCCATTAGGTGCTCAGGTATAGCAGTAAAACATCAATCGCAGATGTGGAGCAAAACAGAGCCTTTGTGTTCTAGTAGCTTGGTTCAAGGCCAGAGTGTCATTCTGGAGTGGACTCAGAGCGACTGTTTTTTCTATCAGATCCAGTGTGGGGTAATAATGTGGGGTCTGAAACCTAATTCTCTGACAACAGCTGGGGCTGCCTGTCTTTGTTCAATTAAGAAACCTGATACTGCGTCATTCCACACCGTATTCATTATTTGATTTGATTGTCCCCCTTATTTGCTTTGAGCTTTTTAGAAATTGTGATTTATTGAAAATAAAATAAAAGTAGACATAGCCTGTCCACAGTTAAAACTACGCACAATATACACATGCTCATGTTTTGTGGTGTTGGTGAAAAACCATAAAATACCGCACCATTTTTCTCTCCAATTCATCCATCTAATTTAATTACATGAACTTGCAATCCATGCCCTTGTCTTTGTAACTGTTTCTTTTCTTTTATAAGCATGACTACAGCCTTCACTGAGAAAACCTATGAATAAATCTGTCAGTGAAAAGTATTTGTCTGTTACTCAGGAGAAAAAGATCAGACTTGATAGAATTGGCTTACAGTATGTAAATAACAAGGTTTCTCCAACCACCGTTTTAATTTCTAATTGCGTTTAAGTGAATACAATCTTCATGATTTAGAAATGATTACTGCAACAACAGAAAATGACTTGAAATACTGCAACATGTGTTTAGTGGCATAATTTGACGTCTTATGTTTACACACAGGAAACCGAAGTATTTACTTAACCCTCAAAATTACAGATTAAGATACGGAAAAAAAAGAATCTAGGTAGGCTTGAAGAATTAAAGCGCCAAAGACACTCGCGGAATTAGTTCATAAATTTGATGTAAGAAAATAGTTTTCACATGTGAATCAGTCCTGAAGCAATCACTTCAGTAAAGCATCGTCTCGGCATGCCAATGCATTCCACACTCAATTGGTGAAACATCAGTTTAGCTTGAAGTGCATGTACTGAATTACCTTAAAATATGCAGCACGGCTGGTTTTATATTTCAAACATCTTTGTTTTTTTCTCTGCTTGCCTAATGTTTCCACACTTTACTTCTGTGTGCAGTATTTACCTCATATAGCCATATTCTCATTTAATTGACTCTCACTTTGCCGTCTTTGCTTTCTTTGAGGCCAGACATGTCAACTGCCACTCAGTCTACCTGGAAGTTGTCCATTGACAAAAACAAACCACAATGTTCTCCTCCAACAGGTTTTTTTTTTTTTAATGCTGGCATGTGTCCATCCTTCTATACATGAATACATGAGCTGCCTTTGTTTCTCCAGTCCTGTATCAGGTTTCTGGGCATGGCTGCTCCGTGAGTTTAATGGAAATGCTATGCAGGAAAAGGCCATGTGGCCGTCTTGAATATATGTGCATCCGTAATGGGATACTCGTGAGTTCCCCTTTGAGTAACTGTTTGCCTTATTAGGTTGTCGTTTGTGACTGCAAACAAACTGGGGAGTAGTTTGAGACGGATGAGATTCCTCAGGCTGGTGTCCTGACTGCACACTGTAAACATTGCTGTACCTCTGACTCCTGGATTGGAGCACCATGCCAAACACTAAAGAGTTACAGGGTATCTTGGTGAGAGTGTTTCACTAAAATGAATAACAGAGTCTCAGTTTATTATTTTCCGGCAGCTGCACATAACATACTCAGTGACTTTCCAGCCTCTTTTATGTGAGATCACAATTTATTATGCTAGACGGAGGCTTTTGTTTTAGTGGAAGGACACGCAAAGTTTTGCTGACAGATGTTTTATTATTAGATCTGAGTCACTGTGGTTACTTAAATAACTTCCTTTTCTTTTTCTTCTTTACACAACTTAAGGACACATTTTCTCCAAATACTTGCATGTAGTCAGTTTATGAAAGATCCACTTTCCTTTACATGGTGGTATTTTAAAAATCATGTGCATAATTTATAGATAATTATATAACAACCACACTCTTGCAACTTCACAGCCCTATATTATAGAGGCGTGGTAGTTGTAGTTTTCCAGTCAATGGATTTTCAACAGAGAACGCGTGCCGAGGGAGAGACTTCTGACTTTATTGCTTGGACTCAGGGGAGTAACTGTGTTGCTGGCTGAGGGCAGTGTGTGTGAGTTGCATGGGCCTGAAACTGATGAGCGTGGGGCTCGGTGTACATAAATTTTGCCCAATACCCCTCCTTCCCTGACACCTCAACCCACCCTACTTATTCACACACAGAGAGAGGCTCAGACATTTAGGTCTACAGGCCTTGCCAAGCTTCCCAGACGGAGCTTTTTATCCTCAGCCTCTCTTAGCTTTAAGTTGACCTGTGGCACCCTGAACTAATCATAATGGCTGCTGGACAACTTGGGGTGATCACGCCTCTGTCTGACCTGACAATATTTAAGGTCACTTGGCTGTGTAAGACTATAGAAGACCACCCATGATGATGTTTTCTAGCAAGTATTGCTAGTATAGCAAGTATTATGACAAAAATAAGATTCTAATAAATATTGTTAATAGTTCCATAAATAACCTAAAAACCAAAAAAAAAAACATTTTCATTTTTGTAAAATTTAGTTCACATTCATATTTGACAAAATAAAACAAGTACAATAAATTAATGATGTCAACCTAAAAAAAAAAACTCCTTTTTATTTTTAGTCTAAAAATTAGCTTGTGTTTGTATTTTACAGTAACGATCTATTCATTAATAATGTACAATTAAAAATATCTTAAGATGTCTAAATTCATAAATATTTTAAAAATGACTTTAATAGAGTTTGACAGTGCTGTTGTGGTTGCTTCTTACACAGTGGTTAGGATTCTTTTTTAGTCCCAGAAATATTTTAAAGTATGTAACTCTTTTGACTATACTAGTTTATCAGTCCTATTGGATGATGTTCTTTTGGGCTAAAAAGCAAATCAGCATAACGTTTAAATGAGAGTTCTCCTAATCAGCACAAAAATGTATTTGTTTTTGGCTTTTATGATACTGTTTTGTGGTTTTTGTTTTGTTTGCTTGTTTTTTTTGTGTGTGTAAAACAACAAGATTCACTTTCCTTTACATGGTGGTCTGGTGTTTTTTGAATAATATTAGAGGAACGCACTCTGTTATCACCATGACAAGCATATATTCATCTCATCAAAGTCGCATTTCACATCGGGAAGTCCCATGTGCCTGCTTATGTGGTTGTGCCACTGTTGTGACTTGTAAGCCTAATTTCTACCCTTGATGCTCCAGCTGGAGCCTACACATTATTATATGTTGTAGACTTTATGGGCTTAGAGCATTCCAGAACTCTTGTTTGGTTATGAGATTAAATATGAGATAGATTCTCTCAGTGTGACTGTGCAGTTGTACTTTTTAATTTTCAGGTAACACTCTGCTTTTGTGTCTTCACAGCTCCATCTACTGTGTCTATAATGCACCAGGTCAGTCGTACTGTGGACAGCATCACCCTCTCCTGGTCTCAGCCAGATCAGCCAAATGGTGTCATCTTGGACTATGAACTACAGTATTATGAAAAGGTAGTCTTGGCCATTCAAGTACATGTTGCAAATGCTTCATCCAGTCATTATTGAACATAAAACACAGACCATGTATTTTATTTTTATTCTTATCAAGCTAAATAGTTTGTTAAGAGCTGGATCGTTTCGTTAGTGTATTTTAAATGTGAATTCTCTCCGCTCAATTGCTTAGCAGCAGATCCTTGGAGGCATGTAGCTTCTGAATATCGCTTCAAACCTCTGCTTGTTCTTCTCCAATTACAATCACGGTCAGTCACTAGGAAAGAAAAAAACACACTCAGCCCCGCAGCAGGGCCAGTGGGGATTGATGTGCTGAGACTTGTGGTTGAAACAATGGTACGCTGACTGATGTAAAAATAGTTTTTTTGAGGGGCAAGCTCCTCCGAATCAGCATACTTTCTCAAAAGAACACTCACAGATGCAAATGTGTGTGTACTCCAGCATGTCAGTTAATAAGAAAACACACAAGGAGAAGCACTTATGTAGTTTCTCAAGCTTTTGTCTGTTGCTTGCCTTTTGACTATCATTCCTCTTACTGACACTGCTGGAGAGAGCTGTCAAAACAATTGTCCCAGCTCCTGTTGTGACTCAGAAGGGTATGCTGAGAAGCGTATTGAAGGAAGCCGCTAAAAATGTCCCAGTCTCTGCTCTCAAACATGTCAACATTCTGGAGAGGAATATAGCTCTGATCATCACACGTAGCTCAGAGGATCCACCTAACCTCAAACTGCCACCCAGTCTACTTTCCTAACAGCAGCCTCTCAATGTTTCCCTTCATAATAAAAAACTAATTGTTTTAGTTGTTTAAAAAAAATACCTTAAATGTGAGTTCTGTCATGTAATGTACAATTGCATTATTGAGCGTTTGAAAATAATTACCCTATGCACTTGCACTATTTCATAATTGTCCACTGAAACTTACTGAATTTTTTTTGCCCCCAGGATCAATCAGAGTACAACTCTACCACCATCAGAAGCCAGACCAACACGGCAGTCATCCGTGGCCTCAAGTCTGGGAGCATCTATGTTTTCCAGGTCCGGGCCCGCACTGTAGCTGGGTTTGGACGCTACAGTGGCAAACTGTACTTCCAGACCATGACGGAGGGTGAGAATTCAGCCATTCCTCACTGCAGCACGCAGAGTTCTTATCACCTTTCATCCTTGGCTTTTCAACACACCGGGTAGGGCAGTAAGATTTCAGACAGCTGCAGGACTGAGAAGGACGCATTATGTGTTGGAACAAGCACAAGTACTCTAAAACAATTACTCTGCTGTAAATAAGTATTTGTGAAGTGATAGATTTCCTGTATGTTTTATTTTTCTTTTTGTTATACTTACATCAAATTCCAATAAAAAAAGAAAAGAAAAAAAAACAGTTTTCAAATACGTATTTAGGTCATTTGAGGTAATAACATAAAAATAAGAGAAAGCTAATTTTGTTGTGTGTGAATAGAATTTGCCCCCTTAATCTAAAAAATGATCTTGTAAGACCCAAAACCTGATGATAAAACTGTAGGTATAACAGGTTTGGTCATACAGTGTGTGATATCCAGACACAGCAAATATGACCCACTGCACACAAACCATTCAGACATTGACTTGCTGAGCTGCTTCAGTTTTTGTTGTTGTTTTTTTTTTTTTTTGCATAGATTGTGGCTTTTTTATTTCTTTTTCCCTGCTTCATGTTGTCAGACAGGTTCTGTATAATTCATTTCTGGCTTAGCTGGTCTAGAAGCATTTGTTCCTGGGTGTGGCTAGCAAAATGGAACTCAGCTTTTCAAAATTGTTGTCAATCAATTGTGATGCATAATTTATCAAGGAGGTAATTACTTTTTCACACTTGGTCAGGCCGGATTGCACAGCTTTCCTAGCTTACGAAGTGAAAGCCTGATATGTTGCTGTTTACTTTCCTTATCGTTGTCTGAAATTTGCCTGTTGGTCTGAAATGTGTAAATCTGATTAAAAAAAAACAAAAGCAGAATGAATATGTAAGGGATATTTTTTTTTCATAGTGCTGTTTATCATATTATTTTATTGTGTAGTTTGAATAATTAGATCAAGCACTAATAATGTTTTTTAATTTTTTTTACAACAACCACTGTGTTAGAGATCAGATTGAATTTGTCTTGTTATCTAAAACATGGCTTACATTTAGTAAACATCAGTCAAGTAGGTTAATGTTAGAGCTATGTCTGGGTATTCCCCTATGAACATCTCATTTCCATCAGCCTGCAGAGCCTAGAGCCATCATTAGCCTGAACTCTCACAGGAACATCCGTGATGCTGCCGCGCACACAGATCCCAGCACACACAAAATATCAGACTGACTCAGAACTGGAAATATTTTGTAAACAGAGGGCGTACAATGCTAACTGTGTTCAACTTCCACTTAAAAGTGATTTTGAGTTGCATGAAAAATGCTGCTGATACAGTTTAAAGTGAATAATAGTTCTACAAACATAAAAGAAAAAAAAAACTTAACAGTTCCAGCAAAGTAGAAACAGAGAGGACAGATGAAGTTTTTCAGAAGTAATGACATTATGAACATTTTATTAAGTTTAATTAGTTGCATTGAATTGATCATTTAAATCCCATATAAAACATTTTAAAAATAATAAAAAAAAATGTATGTGACTCTCAAACAAAAAAGCTTTCTCTGTCTCTGTGTGTCCATTTAGTCGCAAGCTTCTCATTCCTGGCTGTGTGACCAGTCTGCTTTTCATCCAAATATGCTCTCTTCCTCCTTCACTTCACACACTTTCTGCCAGATGATTTGTCCATATCTGCAGCATCGGAGCACATTCGATGCGGTTTGTAAAATGTTGTGTGCAGCCAGCAGTGATGCCAAGATGCTCAATGGTTCACCCAGCCGTATGTCTGTCTGCCACCCATTGCAGAGGCTCAGATGCTTTCCCATATGTTTCAGCTTGTGGATCTGTGTGACTGTGTGTATGTGCATGCATGGAATTATGCTTATCTCTGTGTTTTTTCTTTTGTAGAGGAATACAACACAAGCATTCAGGAGAAACTTCCACTCATCATTGGTTCAGCAGCTGCTGGGTTGGTTTTCCTCATTGCTCTGGTTGTCATCATCATCGTTTGTAACCGGTGAGTCCATTCTGCCTTGTAAAAGTCTTAAAAAAATATGGCTAAAAATGCCACTTTACTTTTCAGCTTGTGTGAACTTTTTAACTTTTTGTCGTTTTCTCTTTTTTGCCCCTCTGCTTTTTTGTTGAACAAATAAAACTACC